CAGCGTACTAGGGGGCAGAGTAACAAGCCTCTCAGTACGCCTTTCCCATAAATGCCTGTATATACGGATGGCTACTTGCATGGCTTTGGTCAACGACTTTGGTTCAGGGTAGTGTACTAAGAAGTCTTTAATGGAGTCTGATAAGCCTAACCTGATCTGGCATCTTAGAGCTGGGTCATTCCCTCCTGAGTCAGGTACCCAGTGACAGAAATTAGAACAGTAAATGTTCAGCGATGCATTTACCCTGACATGCTGCCCTAAGGTTAGTGTCTTCTGAATGAGCACAGTCAGGATCATCATAGAGTATACCCAGGGTCTTGAAAAATGCTTTGACTGACCCTCGGGCTGTGTCTTCTGTGGTTAGACTAAAAGTCAAAGACCAGTGGTCCCCCTGTAACCACGCAATAATCAGGTTAACCCGCTGTGATTCAGAGCCAGAAGAGCGTGGGCTAAGCTTAAAGTATAGCAACCAACTATTTTTAAAGTTGGAAAACATATGGGGTCACCAGAAAAATGATCAGACGGATTACCCTTGGGCTCTGGTTCCTGCATTACTGCTGGAAGTGCGTTACCACACAGACAGTTCTTGGACTTGGCGTACCAGTTTGCGAAACTCCTCTACAAATAATTGAGCCTGTGTAGAGTCCATCTTCACAGAAAAATGTTCCCATTAAAGGCCTGTGATAATGTCATGTTTACCCCTAATGTAGATGGTCAGACATTATCCACTTCCCAACCACACTATGATGGCTACAGCATGGTTGTCTAGTTCTGGGAGGGTGTCCATGGAAGTCCTCCCAGAACCCGCCCCCTGCGTGTCCCCAGCAGCGCGTACCTGGCGCTGTCGTTGATTGCTGTGTCCTAAGGACACGGCGGCTGATCACGTGATAAGGTAAAAGGCCAATCACAGCGGCCTTTTACCATGTGATCAGCCGTGTCCAATGACACAGCCAATCACAATGTAAATACAGTTGCCTGTTATCGGCTGCATTTTCCTCACATTGTCACAGCGTGAGGAAAGTACTGCCGATAACTAGCAAATGTGACAGGGGAGATCTGCACTGATCATCAGGACACTGATGATCAGTGCCCTGATTATCAGTGCCACCCATCAGTGCCCAGCAGTGTCACCCATCAGTGTCACCTATCAGTGCCCAGCAGTGCCACCCATCAGTGCCCAGCAGTGTCGCCCAGCAGTGCTGCCTAGCAGTGCCACCCATCTGTGCCAAGCAGTATCGCCCATCAGTGCTGCCCATCAGTGCCACCGGTCAGTGCCGTCTATCAGTGCCTCCAGTCGGTGATATCAGTCAGTGCCGCTCATCAGTGCCGCCTATCAGTGCCCATCATTGCTGTATATCAGCGCAACATCTGTGCCTCCTCATCAATGCCCACCAGTGCCGCCTCATAAGTGCCGCCTATGAGTGCCTCCTCATCAGTGCCCATCAGTGCTGTTTATCATAGTGCCCATCAGTGCAGCCTCATCAATGCACATCGGTGAAGGAGAAAACTTACCTGTTTGCAAAATTTTATAATAGAAACAAAGAAAACCTTTTTTTTTTTTTCAAATGTTTTGCTCTTTTTCATGTATAGTGTAAGAAATAAAAAAAACCCAGTGGTGATTAAATACCACCAAAAGAAAGCTCTATTTGCGTGAAAAAAATGATAAAAATCTAATTTTTTAGTGTTACTTGACAGCGCAATTATCATTCAAAGTACGACAGCGCTGAAAGCTCAAAATTGTCCTGGGCAGGAAGGGGGTAGAAGTGCCCTGTAGGTGAGGGGTTATACAGTCATAGCCAAAAATCTCGTTCCCCGGCATTTCTGTCAGATAACGCACCACTTCGCCCAGACAATTGTTGCAATTACAAATGTTTTGGCATTCTCATGTTTATTTCTTTTGTTTGTATTGGTATGACACAAAAAAGTGGAGAAACAAAAAGCCAAATCTGACACATTCCACGAAAACCCCCAAAAATGGTCTGGACAAAATTATTGGCACTTTCTCAAAATTGTAAGAAATAATTTCATTCCAAGTTTGTGATGCTCCTGTCATTTGTAAATAAACTCACCTGTATCAATGACCAGCTGCTGACAATATATAAATTGTCTTTCAACTATCACTTTTCTCTTCCTCCTGCAGAAGCTGAAAGCTAGAATCTCCTCCTCTCCTTCCCACCAGCATACAGCTGCTGCAGGAGGAAAATCCAGTGGATCAGTTGTAGTAAATGCCTCCCCCGCTGCCCCTCCTGTCCTTGTTCCTCTCCAGCCACCTGTGTTCTCCCCTTTATCCTTTAAAAATTAAAAAAAAATAAAAATTGATACCATCCACTACCCTACTGACACCAACCTCTGCCCTACTGACACCATCCACTGCCCTACTGACATCCTGTCCACTGCCCTGCTGACACCATCCTCTGCCCTACTGACATCCTGTCCACTGCCCTGCTGACACCATCCTCTGCCCTACTGACATCCTGTCCACTGCCCTGCTGACACCATCCTCTGCCCTACTGACATCCTGTCCACTGCCCTGCTGACACCATCCTCTGCCCTACTGACATCCTGTCCACTGCCCTGCTGACACCATCCTCTGCCCTACTGACACCATCCACTGCCCTACTGACTGACACAGTCCACTGCTCTACTGACACCATCTACTGCCCTACTGACACCATCCACTGCCCTACTGACTAATGCCGTCCACTGCCCTACTGACTAATGCCGTCCACTGCCCTACTGACGCCGTCCACTACCCTACTGACTGATGCTGTCCACTGCTCTACTGACGCCGTCCACTGCTCTACTGACTGACACCAACCTCTGCCCTACTGACACTGTCCATTTTTAAGGTAGGTTAAGTTTGTATTTTTATAGTGACATTTGTTTTATTATAATTTTCTACGTTCTCCAGTGGATCAGTTGTAGTAAATGCCTCCCCCGCTGCCCCTCATGTCCTTGTTCCTCCCCAGCCCCCTGTGTTCTCCCCTTTCTCCTTTAAAAATTAAAAAAAAAAAAAAAATTGATACCATCCACTACCCTACTGACTCCAACCTCTGCCCTACTGACATCATCCTCTACCCTACTGACACCATCCTCTGCCCTACTGACACCATCCACTGCCCTACTGACATCATCCTCTACCCTACTGACATCATCCTCTACCCTACTGACATCATCCTCTACCCTACTGACACTGTCCACTGCCCTACTGACACCATCCACTGCCCTACTGACTGACACAGTCCACTGCTCTACTGACGCCGTCCACTGCTCTACTGACTGACACCAACCTCTGCCCTACTGACACTGTCCACTGCCCTACTGACACCATCCACTGCCCTACTGACTGACACTGTCCACTGCTCTACTGACACCATCCACTGCTCTACTGACTGACACCAATCTCTGCCCTACTGACACTGTCCACTGCTCTACTGACACCATCCACTGCCGTACTGACTGACACCAACCTGCCCTACTGACACTGTCCATTTTTAAGGGAGGTTAAGTTTGTATTTTTACAGCGACATTTGTTTTATTATAATTTTTCTACGTTTTCCTCACTAGTTAGGCCTTGCTAGTTCGTTTCTTGTTTTTAATTTAAATGGCGCTGAACCCTGACGACCTTTAATCTCTTACATGTTGTTCAGGTAGATCTCCAACTTTCAAAGGTTGCCTACCCCCGCTATATAGTGATCACTGCAACATGCTTTTATACATATACAGACCATTGTAATGTACCAGGGTGAAGCACATAGCAGTATCTGCACAGTCCACCCGATTGTATATCTGTTCCCACATAACCCATTCTAAACATGGGAACACCAAAGTGGAAAGAACCACCTTACCAGATATGAAGGGCATTCAGTGGGAAGCTTCCATCTACAATATTTTAAAACATGGGCTGCATGTCCTGCTTTACTTGTCCCCCCCAAAAAAGAACAGTGTTTGGTCAAAGATGTCACTGCTATCCCCGCCCCTTCCATTATGAATCTGATGACAGCATGTGGAGCTTTCATTCGGCCGGAGTACCACCAGGATTTGTTGTGTGCACCGGGTCCGTCAGGTTTTTAATGCCAGTAAGTCAGCAGGAAGCAAACACCATTATGGATGATGGGTTTACGATAAGTGACATTTTTGGGGGGAGTCTTACTTTGTAAATAAAGGACTCAAACATTTGGATATATTTATTGCTAGGAGAGTAGGGGTGCTCATTCCCATGGGGGGGGGGGGGGGCATCTGAAAGCTGAAAGTTCATAAACCCCCTGCCCAATGGACTCTACAACCACCAGGCTAGGGTTGTGTGTGTTTTTTTTTTGTCAGTGAATGATTAGAAGTACAATCTACCCCTTACTCACATGGGCAGAATCTGAGGGCACTATTATTTATGAAGGGGGCTTTTAGATTCCAAAAGCCTTCCCCCCACAGACCCCCACAACCACTGCCCAGAGTTGTTGGGAAGAGGCCTTTGTCCTTATCAACACAGGCACAAGGTGCTTTTCCAGAGGGACTCCCCTGATAAAGCTTTTCCCCCATTCCCTATGTTGAGGGAATGGGGCCTGATATGGTTAAGGAGGAGAATACCACATACCCATCCTCCATCTTTCCTGGAAAGCCAGTGTATGCTCATATTAAGGGTCTGATATGGAATTTTTAGGGACACCTCAGGCATTTTTGTATATTTTAGTGAGGATCCATCTTAGGTCTATACTAGATTGAAAGAGTCTGGTATGAATTTCCTAGGGGACCTCACACCGCCTTTTTTCTGCTTTAAATAAAAGGTCAATGTAATTGGTTGATTGTTTATGTTATTATGTTTTTACTTTCCAGATAGCCGTGCAGCACTCTATCAGGCGATAAGTATTTCAAGCAGACATTGGAGTGTGACCATTCTTGCCCCATCCATCTACACTGTTGTGTTCCTTGTGGCTCTTCCTCTCAATATCATGGCGATCGTCATGTTCCTGGTGAAGATGAAGGTCAGGAAACCATCAGTGGTCTACATGCTGAACCTCGCCACTGCCGATGTCCTGCTTGTTAGCGTCTTGCCTTTTTATATTGTCTATCGATTCCTGGGATCTAACTGGATCTTCGGAGAAGGAATGTGTCGCTTTGTCACGGCAGCATTTTACTGTAACATGTACTGCTCCGTCCTGCTCATGACAAGTATCAGCGTGGACCGTTTCCTGGCCGTAGTCTACCCGGTGCGGTCTCTCCCCTGGCGCACAGTGACCCGAGCCTGGCTGGTGTGTGGTGTCATCTGGGTCATCTCATTGGCCAGCACTGTGCCTCTTCTCATAAAAGAACAAACCAGGTTATTTCCTATGCTGGATAACACGATGTGTCATGACATTCAACACTTTGGGATTTATTTTTTTTTTCAACTTTTACTATTTCACCACTGTTTTCTCACTTTTTAATTTCTTACCATTACTCATTACAACTTTCTGTTACATTGGAATCATCCGCAGTCTCAGCAGATCAAAATTTGATCGCACACATAAGAGATCCCGATCTATCCGCCTCTCCGTGGTTGTGCTGAGTGTGTTTGTCCTTTGCTTTGGTCCCACCAATGTCATCTATTTAATTTACTATGGGCAGGTGATTGATAATTATGGTTTCTCGCTGTATATTGCATACATCCTCTCTTCCAGTATCAGCAGCATAAACTGTAGTCTGGATCCTCTTATCTACTATTTTGCATCCTCCGAGTGTCAGAGACACGTCTGCAGCTTCCTGCGCTGCAAGATTGTCACTCAAGGGTAGAAGAAAAGTGGATCCCGTACAAAAAGAGCAGCCAGAAGAGAGAACTAATTCTGATCAATTCACTAAGAGTTGACTTATTTTGATTACTTTGTGTACGGGGAAATATTTAAATTTGCACACACATTAAAATCTGAATTTTGTTCTAGAAAATTACTTAAAAACCCTAAAACAGTTATATATTGTCTGAAAGCAGAGACCCGTGTACAAAAAAATTATGGCAGGCACAAATTTTTATGTTGCGCTATATTTTTGCAAATGTTTATCAAATCTATATTTTTAGGAAACAAATACTAAAAATAATTTGTGTGAACGCCGCTCGAGGAGCCGACTTTTGCCCTTCCGGCATCCGTAGTGCTCATCCAAGCCTGGCATATACTCTGAAATGGAGTATCGCCGCAGTCCAATCATCCCAGGTACAAAGTTAGATGAAAACAACCTCAGCGTAGGCTCCTCCTAAGCAACACCTCTGACTCATATTGTCCTGCTCACGGGGCTTGACCACAGGGCTCAGTAACAGGGGGGCAATAATACCAATTTTGATCAATTATTAACCACTTGCCGCCCAGCCAACGCATATAAACGGTGGCAGGGCGGCGCTCGTAGGCAAAAACACGTTTTAAAACGGCTGCCTTCAAAATAGGTAGGGGACGCGCGCGAGGCGCGCGCCCGCCCTACCTGTCCAGCGGGTGTCAGCAACGGGTGTCAGCCGACGGGTCACAGCCAGCTTTTACCGGCCGTTTTCCCGCGATTGCCGGTGATCGCTAACACAGAGCAGGGCTGCATTGTTTACACACAGCCCTGTTCTGTGTCAGTTCTCTGACAGCTTGTGAGAAGCTGCAGAGTTTCTCTCCCTCGATCAGCTCCCCCCTCCCTCCCCCCCCCCCCCGTCCAGTACACACCCCCGCCCCCTAGTAAAACACTCCCCTTACACTGCAAATTCTAAAAATGTTAACCCCTTCCTCCCCAGTGACATTAGTACAGTTTCAGTGTTTTTTTTTTTTCACTGATCACTGTATTGGTGTCACTGGGGATGTCAGTGACCCCAAGTCAGTTCCCCCCCCAGTGTCAAAATGTCCGCCGCTGTCCCGCAGTCCTGCCATAAGTCGCTGGTCGCCGCCATATGTCGCTGATTGCCGCCAAAAGTCGCTGATCGGCGCCATTACTAGTATAAATAAAAATTAAAAATTCCAGTATCTTTCCCGCCATTTGTAAACGCTATAACTTTCACGTAAACCAATTAATTTACACGTATTGGGATTTTTTTTAGCAAAGACATGTCGCAGAATACATTTTGGCAGAAATTTATGACTAAATTTGATTTTTGCATTTTTTTTTACTGGACATGTTTTATAGCAAAAAGTCCAAAATATTGTTTTTTTTTCCTCAAAATTGTCAGCCTTTTTTTTATAGCGCAAAAAATAAAAACCGCACAGGCGATCAAATACCACCGAAAGAAAGCTCAATTTGTGTGGAAAAAAAGGATGTAAATTTCATTTATGTACCGTATTGCATGACCGCGCAATTGTCCGTTAAACTAGCGCAGCGCTGTATAGCAGAAAAATGGCGTAAATTGCAGTATTTATACCATAGTTTGTAGACGCTATAACTTTCACACAAAGCAACCAATATACACTTATTGGAATTTTTTTTACCAAAAACATGGAGCAGAATACATTTTGGCCTAAATTTATAACCAACTTTGAGTTTACTATATATTTTTTATAGCTGAAAGTAAAAAATATTGTTTTTCTTCAAAATTTTTGGCCTTTTTTTGTTTATAGCGTGAAAAATAAAAAAGCGCACAGGTGATCAAATTACACCGAAAGAAAGCTCTATTTGTGTGAAAAAAAGGACGTAAATTTCGTTTGGGTGCAGCATTGCATGACCGCGCAATTATCAGTTGAATTAGTGCAGTGCCGAGTAGCAAAAAGAGGCGTGGTCATTAAGGGGGTAAATCCTCAGGTGCTCAAGTGGTTAAAAAAAACGTGAGGTTGTGAAAAAAAAAAAAAAAAAAAAGGATACCAAACATGTCCGGCCTTAAAACTGAGCGTGTCTGTGAATTGGAAAAAAAAAAAGGAGAGGTCCCCAGAATTGTCCATAGACAATGGTTTTACACGGTATCAGTTTAGAGCTAACCATGAATTATGTCCCGAGAATTATTGCTCCCACTTCGTCCTTGTGACACCTAACCTATGTGGTGCATTTGCTGTTTACATACATGTGTGCACCCTACACACGTCTATGTGCACAGGGCAAATGGGCTCTTGTCATTTTTTTTTTATTTTATTATAATTTAATTTTTTAAAACTTTTTACATTTTTATCTAATTATATTGCTATCACAAGGGGTGTACCAAGCCCCCTATGTGATTGCATGGGATGATGACTCTTAATGGAGGCATCAGGGGTCTATCAGATCTCCAGCGTCTCTCCTACCCTCAAATGAGAAACACTGCTCCCCAGCTATATCACTAACCGCATCTGCAGATATTGTTCAAATCATCCTCCCAAAACATCATTTATTCAGGGACGCCTACCCCACCTCCACCTTAACCATTAGCCGCCCGGCCAATGGCCGTTTGGCGGCTTCCGATGTGCTCCTCCATTCCGGGTGCACGCCATTTGGTGTGCTCCCACACATGCGCCGTTTGCGCTAGTGCAGAGCGGCGCAGCAGTGCGATCTGTCGGCGGCCGTGCACCTCGGACACGGCCGATGACAGATCCGAGTACCGGCTCCTGTTGCTGGTACCATGTGACCTGCTGTGACCAATCACAGCAGGTCACATGACAGTTGTATACATGGATGGCTTCATTCATGATGCCATCCATTGTATACTAGTGCCTAGCTGTGAATGGTCACAGCTAATCACATGCACATGTCATGTGATTAGCTGTGACCAAATCACAGCTAAGCACAAAAAAAAAAAAAAAAAGCTGAATGAATCGATTTCATTCAGGTAAATGCTTGCTTATAGCAAAGTAATTCTTTGCTATAAGCAAATTGTGTGTAAAAAAAAAAAAAATACTGATCACTTCCCCAAAGTAGTACAATGTTACTATGGTAACATTGTACTATTTTGGTCATAGTAAAATATGAAAAAAAATCTTAAAAAAAAATAAAAAAAAATGTAATAAAAAATTAAATATAATAAAAAAAAAAAAAAAAATTAAAAAAAATATATATATTTTTTTTTCATACTGTCACCAGTCAGTGTCCCTGTTCACCGCCATGCCAGTTATATGATGACACTGTACTGCACTGGTGACAGTATGTAAAAAAAAAAATAGTGAAAATTATTTTTTAAATTTTTTCATTTTCCGAAAAATTATGACAAAAAAAATACAACTTCAAAAAACTCGCCATGCCTCTTATGAAGTACGTCGGACTGTCTACTCTGCAAAAAGGATCATTTGGGGATATCTGTACCGTCCTGACATTTGGGGGATATCTGTACTGTCCTGACATTTGGGGGATATCTGTACTGTCCTGACATTTGGGGGATATCTGTACTGTCCTGACATTTGGGGGATATCTGTACTGTACTGACATTTGAGGGATATCTGTACTGTTCTGACATTTGGGGATATCTGTACCGTCCTGACATTTGGGGGATATCTGTACTGTCCTGACATTTGGGGGATATCTGTACCGTCCTGACATTTGGGGGATATCTGTACCGTTCTGACATTCTTGGACCTCAAGAAATTAGATTGCTGTCAGTATTTCAGGATTGATCAATATTCAGATATATCCCATAGTTTGTGAACTCTATAACTTTCCTACAAACTAAATAATACATCCTAATTTGGGTTATTTTCACCAAAGACATGTAGCAGAATACATCTCGGCCTAAATTTATGAAGAACAATTATTTATTTGTAAACTTTTATAACAGAAACAAAGAAAAATGTGGTTTTTTTTCAAAATTTTTGGTCTTTTTTTGTTAATTTAGCAAAAAATAAAAACCCCAGCGGTGATTAAATACCACCAAAAGAAAGCTCTAGTTGTGTGAAGAAAATGATAAAATTTTAGTTTGGGTACAGTGTTGTATGACCGCGCAATTGTCATTCAAAGTGTGAGAGCGCTGAAACCTGAAAAATGGCCTGGGCAGGAAGGTGTAAAATTGCACGGTATTGAAACGGTTAAAACTGTACTTCATCCACCTCCATCAGATCATCCCCTTGAAGCTTTTATCTTTTGTACCACTTCCCTCCCCTTTCTGTAGATTGTACGCTCCATGATCACGGCTCTTCTATTCCTTCTGTATTAAACTGTATTGTAATTGTACGGTCTCCCTTTATATAGCAACGAACTAGCAAGGCCTACCTAAACAGTGAGGAAAACGTAGAAAATTATAATAAAACAAATGTCGCTATAAAAATGCCTGTCATAAATCATAAATTACAAAGAATTTGCTGAGCATTCTGCGATTTCTACTTTAATGATGTCCACAGTATGACTTTAAGAAGACTAGGAAGTAAGGGCTTCCCAGGCCATACTTCCCCTTTAGGGCAGCAAGATATAATTTATAGTTTATCAATATGACTCAAAGGAAATGGTTGTAGACCAC